TTGCGATATGGCAAAATGTATATATATATTATATATATAATTATATACGTGTGGGGCGTGTGTGTGTGTGTGTGTGTGTGTGTGTGTGTGTGTGTGTGTGTGTGTGTGTGCGTGCGTGCGTGCGTGCGTGCGTGCGTGCGTGCGTGTGGTGCTGCGCGTGTGTGTGTGCGTGTGCGTGGTGTGTGTGTGTGTGTGTGTGTGTGTGTGTGTGTGTGTGTGTGTGTGTTGTGTCTGCGTGTGGTCCGATGATGACAAGCGTGACGACGACGACGATGATGACGACGATGACTATAACGCCGAGAATATCGGCAGCTGTCGTGACGTCACGCGTCCGTCAGTGTACGGCCTTGGTCTGCTACCGCTCACCACCGCTCATGCGCAGACACTTCAATAATGCATTGCAATCGGCATTACTCATTCCCCGGGAAAACGCAATTAGCGAAATATACGTTATATCTGTTGTGCACGCGTTCACGCACGACGTGTGTACGTATACGTGGCTTCTAGCATATACACCAAGAGTCAAGAGTAGATAATAACAATTATTACGTACACACGTATTGGTTATATTATCTACTCTTGCCAAGAGTCCATAATAGAGCGTCGATTATGTACTCTAGATATACACCGATCTATGTCCCGTGGCTGGGATGATACGTAGAGGGGGGGGGAGGGGGCAGAGTCGAAAGAATTGCGAATTTCGTCGGTTTATCAACCAGCGCAGTCTGTCGGGTATTGGCGCCGACGATCATTTTACAGTTTATCGCTGGAGTCTGTCATTAGCCGTAAAGGCCGCCGCACACCTACACAAAAATCGGTCCGATTCAAAAATCGCTTCGTCGTTTGTAAAATCCGCTCATCGCGACGCCTTCCGATAAACACCCGCACACCTACGATAAACACCCGCACACCTACGATAAATTTCTGCAAGGTGGCGCCATTTTGGCTGAACGTGCCCGTGTCACATGACATTGAGCTGAGCCTTTACGACGGGGGGGGGGGGGTTACCGCGCGCACACCTGCACGGGCTAGAGCTGCTTATCGCTAATCTTCTATTATGCCGGATCCCTAATCGAGAATGCACGATGATCAATTTTGTTGGCAGGCCCTTTAGGCTTCGTTTTTCTTGCAAGACTACAACTGCAGCGTATTTTTAACATTTGTATGTGCATGGACAGGAGAGCTTACTCGTAATCGGTAAATCACTCGGGTGTTGTAGTCGGCCTACTTGCGAAAGTTTGGATATTATAGTATATTAGGAGATCGGGTGGTGTAGTCGGTCTATTTGCGAAAGTTTGGATATTTTAGTATATTATGGGAATACTCTACTCGTGTGATTGCACTCCACGACCGTACGCGAGTGTTGGTCGACTAACCAGGCTTCGCAGCTCGGCGATTCGTTCCTGAATGGGTTGTAACCTTGCGGAATGGCGGGTGGTTGCGCACTGCCGACATTACCGACCAAGGATGTTCCCGTCTCCAGATACGACCCGCCTCGCTTTGGCACAATCTGTTGGTAGCGAAATGCATGTGAAAAGTGGGATAACTAAGAAACAGCTGGACGCGAATAACGATAGTCGTCACTGAGACTGCAGTTAGAGAAGATCCGGCGTAGCCGAATGATGCTGCAACATTTGTTATACCAAGACAGATACAACAGATCTCATGAATATATAGCTAGCTAAACAATGTATATATGCAAAGAGGATCTATATAGTTTATATATATATATATATATATATATATACAATCAAGAGCGTATTAAGAACGTCTTGAATATCCGAATTCTTAATACGCTCTTTATACAATCATTATCATAAAATTGTATAGGCCCTACTATAATACTTGTTCATGCTGATAATAACTAGGAGCAACACACTTTATGAAGCCTAAACAATTTCAATCAGGTTGTCAAATTTGTTGCTAAGAGGTTTAATTACATGCAGTCATCATGAAATAAAACAACTCGGGGAGCTACATTACGGTGTTGGAGACACTGAGACATGAACAATTTAACTAATAACAATTAATAGCAATAGTAATATTATTACTAATATACCAATAACAACACCAATACTAATACTAATACCAATAACAAATTAATAACACTACTAATAAAACTAGAAATGATAAAACAATACTAATACTACAATAATAATCAACTAATTAATAATATTACTAATAAACTAAGACTAAATTAAACTAAACAAGCAACGCTAGCTATGGTGCCAGGAAGAGAGCCTATATACACGCGGCGGCACTGTCGGTGGATGTGGAAACGTTGGCGCAATATTCAACGAGGAAGCCGAAACCGCGAATCTCATCATCACTGCAATCCCCTACCTACGAGAACGAACAGTACTTGCGGTGAAACACCAACAACAACAACACACTTCAACAAAGGGGTTACTTTTCAACTCACCACGTGCGAAACGGGAGAGTTCAAAGACCTCCTCGCGCAGAACTTCTGGAAAAGAGCGCCAAAACGTACTCAAAGACCGTACTCGTCAACACTCAGCACGTACACGTGCGCACGCGCACAGAGGCGATCCCTCTGCCCGTGCGGAACCAGCGACCCGCCAAGAATGGTTAGTCAGGACCGATATGCGGGCGCTGTCCCAAAATGAGTGACTCCAGGGACCGTGGTCGCCCTGCCACCCGTCCACCGGCAAACGACCGCAGAAAGCGGGACCCTCCTCCTCCACCCGACAAGAGGGCTCCCATGAAAGACGGTCACACACCCAATGGTACCCCGTCTTCAACAAACCCTAAAAACACTGCACGGAACCGCGGCCTGACGTAGAGACCACAGACAGCACAGGAAACATCACAACCAGCTGAGAATACTGCAGCAGAACATTACATATACATCGCTGGATTCAAAACGAGGAAGGTGGAACTATTGAAAAGGCTGTTTGACCTAAAGGTTGACGTTGCGGCTATCCAAGAGGCAAATTTCGCTGTCAAAAATGTTAATGGGAAGGATGTATAACAAGATCCCCGAGCTACGTGGCTGGAACATAGTAGCACAAGAGAGAAAGACAGGGAGGAAATCTGGCACAACAGCGCCGGAAGGGGAGGTGTGGCGTGGCTAATAAGAGAAGGAATAAAATACAACATCCTTAAAACCAGCCCGGTACACCAAAATGATGACACCACAGAGTGGACCGGCATAAGTCTACCAGGAACATAACAACAAGGTTGTAGACCAAAAAAGAGCTATGGAACCTGTATGTGCCGCCAATTCACGAGTCATCCAAAGACGACGACCGACGCCAAGATTTCGACACGTCTAAGCAGCCAACAGACCCAAACAGTCTGTACTTTGCCGATTCAAACTGCCACGGCACCTGGGATGATAGACTAGGCCGAAACAACATGGCTGACAAATTGGCAAGCGCGTAGCCAGGGGGGGGGGGTCCTGGGGCCCTAGAACCCCCCAATCAAAATCAAAATATAATTTTTTTTCTCTATTTAGAGCTGCAGAAGAAATAGTATTGTCAACAAAACAGCGTCTAAATTGATTTTAAAGCACTATTTTTACATTTAACTTAAAAAAAATTTTCACACCACCAGACACCCTTGTTACTTGCTCGAGGACCCCCTCCCCCAATCCAAATTCTCCTGGCTACGCCCTTGCAAATGGGAGGACTGGTTCTCTGCCAACAACTTCGGGTACATGGACACCCCAGACTCCTACACCAGAAGGGACAGCAAGGGGAAGAAGTCGTACCCAGATATCACCCTCACCCACAACAGCTTGCTCGGCAAATACTCCTGGTTCCCCCAAGAGCGAAACCCCTGAGGCTCAGACCACCTGCCGATTCTAATAACCTTAAACCTGAACTTCACCACCAAGAAGAGGCCAAGAAAGGGCGAAGGCAAAGCCAGATGGGCCTACAAAAAAGCCAATTGGAAGATGTTCAAATGCTACCTTGACCAGGAAATGGAGAACTGGCCCGAAAACAGCGAATCATGGCCACTTAAGACCCTCTCGCTGCGACTAAACACAGCTATCCTACAAGCCGCGAAAAAGAGTATCCCCAGAGGAAACCGACCCAACATCAAACCTTTCTGCAACGACGATATTGACAAGGCTGATAAAGCAAACAACAAAGCCCGAGCAGAATATCATCTTTTAGAGGGCATGCTGATACCTACAAAGCTACCAGGGATACCCTTTACAATGTCACCAATCAAGCAAAAGAAGAAAGCTGGCAAAAGTACGTATCTGAGCGCGACCCATCCACCTAGCCTAGTAAAGTATGGCGTGCTATAGCTGCTATGAATGGCAGGAAACCCAAAACTAAGAGTGGAACTAACATCTCTATGGGGTCAAAGGTCGCTACAACTGACCAAGAAAAAGCCAACATGTTCAACAAGTCGTACCAGCAAGAAAGCAGAATCCCAACGAGCAAAGCAGCTGACAAACCAGAGTACACGCTCATAGAAGGGCTATCGGAAAATGCTCCAACTGTGATAGCCAACAAATCGGAATGTGGTGCCTATTTAGCATGGAAGAACTTAAAGCCACACTATGCGCATCTACACGCTAATTTCTCCAGTACTAGACTAGCAAATACTTTGTGTCATGCAGAATCATACTACGTTATGACAAAATAAACTCTAGTTCCTCCCATTTCACTGCGCGTTGTCTTATAAAAGGCATTTGAAAATACCTCCAATGTTGTTCAAATTCTCCGATGTTGTTGACAGTTGAGCAGCGGTGCTGCGGTGCAGCGGTACGGGTGTAGCAAAGATAAAAACATGTGACGTCACCTAACCGATTCTTGGCAAAATTGTTTGGCAAACAATTTAGCGTTGGTGCCAGATTACCAAATTTCGCACCTCTTTCTTGTGGGTTTTAAGCAAACGCGCAGTGAAATGGGAGGAACTAGAGTTTATTTTGCCATAAGGTAGTGTGATTATGCATGACACGAAGTATTTGCTAGTCTAGTACTGAAGAAATTAGCGTTTGGATGCGCATAGTGCGGCTTTAAGACAGGAATGCTGCAGTTAAAAAATGGAAAAAGTCCAGGTGAAAATGACATCTCCAACGAGATGCTACTACATCTCACACAGCCCGCCAAGGAAACCCTGCTAAAGCTATACAACCTATCCTGGAAGCTGAAAACTTGCCCCAAAGAGTGGAAATTAGCAGAAATTGTCCCCATCCGGAAACCAGGGAAGGACGCAAGCCTAACAACCAGCTACCGGCCAATAAGCCTCTTATCCACGATATCAAAGCTTATGGAGAGACTCGTGCAGGCAAGACTACAATACTTCCTAGAGCGTAACAATTAACAAGCTCAGCCCAGCCCAAGCGTCGATCTACAAACGAGCAGATACCATGACTGTCACAAATACTTTTAGATGGCATACAAAACAAGCAGCGCTCCCTAACAACCTACGTCGATTTTACAAAGGCATACGACTCGAGTCTGGCGAGACAACTTGGGGGGAAAGTTGGGTGAAATTGGAAATTGTGTCGTAAAATGGGTCAAATCGTTGCTCTCTGAACGCTACGCACATGTCAGGTATATACAACAACTCCAAATCATCCCGACTAAGGTATGACAATGGTCTCCCACAATGACCGGTCCTAGCCCCAATACTCTGGCTGATATACATCAACGACCTCCCAGACGCACTACCAGGTACCGCCCAGATTAGAACCTCTACATCCCTATTCGCGGATGACAATTGTCTTGCAATCACAACATCAGGAAAGACAATGGAGCAATGTCAGAAAGCCATGCAACCCGCCCTTAATGCCGTGGAGAAATGGTGCAACGAGAACAAAGTGACGATCAGCATCTGCTACTCTGCCAATTCCAAGACAGTGTGCTGCCTCTATACCAAAGACCAGCATGAACTGAACAGTAAAGCAGTGCGAAACTATACGTAAACGGAATTCGGATACACCACGTACTCTATACCGCTCCGAAGTTATTAGGTGTCCACATCAACGGTCGACCAGGGGCTCACATTCAAAAAACATGCAGAGTTCAATGCAGAAAAGACTGGGAAACGCAACCAAGTCCTAAGAGCTCTTAGCGACAGAACCTAGGGACAGAAATCACGATAACTGAAGACAGTTCACCATGGATACACTCAAGCAGCCATCAACCACGGGATAGGAGAATGGGGTATAATGGCGGCACCATCGACACTGGAGATTGTTGCTTAAGGCCGCCGCACACCAGCCGATTTTTACAAACGATGAAGCGATGAAGCGATGAAGCGATGAAACGATGTAGGTGTGCGCGTTCATTTGTAGACGATTTTATTTTTATCGGGTGATCGTTCCAAAATCAAACATGTTTGATTTTGAACCGATTATTTGGACGCGATTTTGTGGTGTGCGCGTGACCTCAGGGAAATCGTGTGCGATAAATATTGAACAGCCAATTGCTGAACGTGCCCGTGTCACATGACATTCACCTTGCAGAAATTATCGTAGGTGTGCGCCGCACACCTACATCGTTTCATCGCTTCATCGCTTCATCGCTTCATCGTTTGTAAAAATCGGCTGGTGTGCGGCGGCCTTTAGAAAGAACGTGCGGCAGCAAGGATAATCACTGGCTGTACTAGCGACACCTCTAAGAACGCTCTCATGTGTGAAGCAGGACTACAACCACCGAATGTCCAAGCAAAATTACAAACAACACTTCAGCACGAGCGCTCAACTAGACTGCCTTCTGATATCCCGTCCCATCAAGTTGCCAAAGGATACGCACCACTTCGCCTAAAAAGACATTCCAGTAAAGAAGGAGCCCCCAACAGCAAACTCCTTCCACCTAGAGAAACAGCCTGGATGACACGGTAAAACGAACCTCGAATGCACACCTAAAGAAGCAACTATACTTCACCCCCAATTAGAACCGTGGAACTGGTCCTCCCCAGACGTAGAGTTTAACACCATAGTAGACGGCTGCATGGGCAAAAACGACGCAGCCAACAACATCGAGAATGCTGCACGGAGCCTACTGGAGAAAATCAAAGAAGTAGACATGGTTTGCTACACTGACGGGTCGGCAGATGATGGTACGATAAACGGTGATGCTGGTGCCATAATCAACATACCAGGTGAAAAAAAATAATCATCAAAATACCATGTGGAATCATATGCTCATCATATCGGGCAGAGATGAGAGCCATAGAAAAGGCCCTGATGACTGTATGGGAAAACCTGGACTACGAAATTGAACTGGACCGGGTGTTGTGGATAATTACAGACTTTCAAAATCGTCCATTGAAACCCTCGGACAGGGCCCTGGAAACCAGTTCAGTAACATCGGTAGCAAGATCTGGGGACACATCAACCAGATCTCCCAGCACAGCATAAAGATAGTGTTCCAGTGGATACCTGGCCACAAAGGAATAGAAGGTAACGAAGAGGCAGATACCGCAGCAGGGGAAGCCACCACCCTACCCCAAGAAGCGGTCCCGGTCGACTTTCCGACTACCAAAGCCCACATCAAACGCCAACTCCATGAAGGGTGGATATCAGATCTCAAACAGGAGGACCTCTTCTTCAATAAGGTAACAACAGCAAGACCCAAAGAAATCCCTAAAACGATGGCGAGATCAGACGAGGTTCTCGTCCATCAGCTACGAACTGGAAAGTCATCCCTGGCTGCCCATTGCTTAGCCAGATACAAATCCCTACCTGACGATAAGGGGAAGTGTCTGGCGAGGTGCGATGAAAAAGAGGCAGTGGAACACCTACTATGCTGTCCGATATACGGAAAACAACAAAATGAAGTGTGTGGCTCAAAGGACATCTTAGAGCTTCTCAATGACGACCCTGCCAAAGTGCTAAAGTTCCTTGAAAGGATAGGCCGCCTGGCCGCACCTGAGTTCTGCCACTCCGCATCACAGCCACTGGAAGAGAGAGAACGCTAGCTATAATGCCTCCCCTCCCCTTTCACCCCTCCCCACCCACCAACCGCCGCCCCTACCTTCTCGACATGGGAGCGGGGGAAGAGCCCATGTTCCTTCGCTTTCATGCTGTAGCCCGTCCAGTAGGTGTCGCTCTCGGAGCCATTGGTCACGAGGATCGTGTCTCCGACCTGAAGGCTCAGGTGTCCGAGCACGTTAGCATCTAGCGCCCTGTTTACTCGATACTTGCCTGCCATAACAATTCAAGAACGTCGTCAGTCGTTCAGGCGTTCAATCAAGGATGCACGTACGCACGTACGCACGCTCGCACGCGCTCACGCACACACACACACACACATACATAATAGATGCATACGTTGTATATACATATGTTCATATTATTGTTATGCTTAATACTTGCATTAATTTTCACAAAGACCCGCCGTAAGATCGCAAAGATTAATGACAGGGGTAAGTGAAGTTAGCTCCCAGTTCCCAGTTCCTTATTCGAATAAGGAACTATAGTAACTAGGCAAAGCAGTTACCAGTTCCCAGTTCCTTATTCGAAAAAGGAACTAGTAACTAGGCAAAGCAGTTACCAGTTCCCAGTTCCCAGTTCCTTATTCGAATAAAGAACTAGTAACTAGGCAAAGCAGTTACCAGTTCCTAGTTCCCAGTTCCTTATTCGAATAACGAACTAGTAACTAGGCACAGCAGTTACCAGTTCCCAGTTCCCAGTTCCTTATTCGAATAAGGAACTAGTAACTAGGCAAAGCAGTTACCAGTTCCCAGTTCGAAATGCAACATTGAATTGGGAACTGGTAACTAGGCAAAATAGTTACTAGTTATTTATTCGGCCAAATTAACCCTTTGGCACACATTTATTCGAACTGGTAATTCGAACTGGTAACTGAATAAGTAGCTGGGTATCGAACTGGTAACTGATTAAATAAATGTGTGCCAAAGGGTTAATTTGGCCGAATAAGTAACTAGTAACTATTTTGCCTAGTTACCAGTTCCCAATTCAATGTTGCATTTCGAACTGGGAACTTGTAACTGCTTTGCCTAGTTACTAGTTCCTTATTCGAATAAGGAACTGGGAACTGGAAACTACATACGCACTCCTATATTCTGCATTCCCAGCAAACACTTAATTCAATGTGAACGATTATTAAATCATGCAGCATCGTTTTTAGGTTGATATAGATAACCGCGGATATGAGTCCGGATATAATTACGCGCTAAAAGTTCCTGTCCCGGGGCCCTTGCTGCCCTATACGCTGTAACATGCTGTGTAACATCTTCAATTTATTTACCAGAGCCCCGTTGTCAGAAAAAATTGTCTTCACATTAGTCTTAGCTTTTTCCCTTAGACCGTTGACAGAAACATCGTTAAGTTATGAAAATGAAATATCCTACCAGATATCGTCATAAATTTACGAAACAAACAAATATGTCTATGGTTTACGAGAATACGATCTACAGTTTTGTTTCTGACAACGGGTCCCACATCTCACGTGTTGGTGAGCTCACTACAGCCGACAGATAGCGGTGAAATCACGCAAACTATAAAACAGTTTGTCTGGTCTTGATAGGGGATACATGCAGTTACTAGTGTCGGGACCATGTGCAAACACATCCTTACTGCATTCTCCATGCGCTTCGCTGGTTAGGCAGCAATCCGGACACAAAATTAGTAGAAATTATATATTCGAACGTGCAAAATGTGCAAACCTAAGTGAACGCTGGGCTGTCTTATCACTACCGGTTCGTCAGCAAGCGTAGTGCTCTTCATGCCTATAACCAAGTCAATACAATGAATAAACCTATGAATAAACCAACTATAGAGAACAAAGTGCATGAAAGCCAGTTGGAAATATTGTGGCGAATTTCAACGTGGGATATATAAAGAGTATCCAGCGAGAATGCTGAAGGTTTGTACCCAAGGCATATTGAACGTATGGATCTAAGATATAAAATAAAGACAATAAACTACGGGCAGGCTTAGCAGGACGTTACATCTCCTCCATCTAATGTTAACTTTAAATCGGTATCCCGCGTCCATATGTATGATACTCACCACACTTGCTCGCCAATATGCACTCCTTGTGGACACGTGCGATGCAGTCTGGCTTGACACACTTGTAGCCTTGGCAGAACACTCCTCTGCATGAACAACAGCAAATTAACCGTTTATGTCTCTCTGCGAGATAGCTCTATGCCCATCAAAGCTGACGTTATAATTCCCCGATGTTGCAATTATGATAATTTTTGTCTCCAGCGTAGTTACCTGAGTAATTTGCCACACGCAGTGCAGACTTGCGGTTCAATGAATGTGTACATGGTGAACTTGTGATCGGTATGCTGACAGTCCTCAGGCTGAGTGTTGTCTCTAAAAATAGTGAATTGTATTAGATGTAAATGACAGGTAATAACTATAGTAATAGCTGTAATTTGCAGTTAATTATTGGCGCACTACAGAGCTGGTGAGACGTCGGCCATGCTATGTCACAATCACGTAGTTGTAAATATATATTGTTAGCCTGCAGCGTGAACGTCTTAGAACAATAAATAAAGAGTGACTTAAATTCATTAAGAATAAGAACAAGGTGTAAATAACTACAAACACTATAGAATGAACAAGATCATAAACATGTATACATATACATGTATTCATATACATTGTAAAAAGAAGAAGTTTATGTTAACGTAGCAGCTAGGGCTAATGATGAAAGGGTAAAGTAAAAACTATAAACATAATAAAACAGTTGGGTGAAAACAACTATGATCAATGCAGGCCATTAAACACATCACCTAAGGATAAACAGTTACATGATATAGCACCCCAGCAACAATACAGCTACCTAAAACACGGCAGCTAAACCAAGAACAGCATGATTAGGGAAGAACGGCGCCTAATGTATATGCCAGCCAACACAGCATCTACGAAAGAACATAGGATGAACAACGTTAAGCATGAACATCTAGCGGAAGGAAGGACCGTACTGTGCCATCTTGATTGCTTCGATCCACTTGCGTTTCGCCTCCTCGCTTGCCGCGTAGAAGTGGTAGGCTGACACTCGGTAGTCATCCGCCGTCATCTCCCAGCAATAGCTCCACTGCAGCGTACGATCCAGAGTAAGATAATACTATTCTATCATATAATACAAACATTATCTTAAAAATTCCACTTTATATTGACAGCGCTTATTTATACACGGTGTTTCCCATGTTTACTAGCTGACGTGCCCTTGCAGCCAATCTATTAGGTGGTAGAGGTGTGGTAGCAGGCATACAAGGATTGAGCTACAGTAGGCGCACCTTGTCTCTCTTCGCATTCGGAGATGGCTCTTGTATTACCATGCACTTCAGCACCACAGCTTCTTTGTAGATATACGCATCACCCTGCGAAAATAGGCCTGTATTAATTTAAAGTTTCCTCGATATTAGAGGTGCGCGGTATTACTGATATACCGGTATACCGCGGTACGTGACCTGTACCGGTACGTACCGCAGTACTTTGTGCGGTGTAGTGGTGTACCCGTTTTTCAAGCTATTTTTATCACATCAATTTTATTTCACTTCCTCGTCATTGCATAGCTTTATAAATTCATCTCCGTCGATCGACACCATTCACGCTGTATTCGCGTATGTCCAGCACCTATTGAGTATTCTATATGCCTAGTAGATAGTCTGCGCTGTTTTATTTGTACATACTTCATTACTTCAGACTGGTTCTAGCCGTACGACACTCTTACTCTCGCTCATGTTTGTTCCAAAGGAATGACAAGATATAGCAGATTACAAGAATAACGCGACGCGGCGACTGCCAGGCGTTTTTCTATGAGCGCGGAAGCGGTGCCTTTGATGGGAGAACGGGGTGCGATCGCTCACGAGCGCGTAGCGCGGTAGCGCGTTTCACTAAAAACTAAAAACTACGTAAAAAATATCATCAAGAGTCTATCAATAGATTTTATAGATTAATAGATCTATTGATAGACTCATGATATCATAATATAAAACGTCTTCTAATTAAGATAGCCATGCATGTAATATATATTACCCCAAATACTTTATCCACTACCTGAAAGCGAAACAATGTTGGTCTTTATGTAATAATGTAGTGTTCCCGTGTAATGACGTAGGCACTAGTTTAATGAGGACGATGCAGAGTAATGACGACAAGGTCTCTCTTGTATAACGTAGAGTAACTGAGTTTATTAAGAATTAACGACCAGCAACAGTACGACAGCACGATCATAACGCCGTCAGCTCACAACTGTTACTCACAAAGCGTATCTCTCCCGCTCTGGTTATCCCGCTCACGTGGAACTGCGATTTCTTAACAAACGTTGGAATAGTGATTTATGATTTGCACGACTAGGTCTAGGACCTATATAGAACTCGTATTTTAAACTCACCCTGCCTGCTTTGCATATCAGCATTACGTTGTCAAAAAGAAATATGAATCTGAAAAAGGGATGAACGAAATTTAGCTGTAAAAAACATCCATTAATTCTGTCGCTATGCGCAGCAGATGAATGTACGATATTCTCCACTGTCTGTTGCTACGTGCTTTATTTGGTTTCTAAATATTGAGGTGACTGCTCGCTAGTCTGACGGCCCAATAGTCCGAAAGCCCACTAGTCCGAAAGCCCACTAGTCCGAAAACCCACTAGTCCGAAAGCCCACTAGTCCGAAAACCCACTAGTCCGAAAGCCCACTAGTCCCAAAACCCACAGGGGATGGGGCATCGATCTATAGTTCTAATGTTTAATTAATTAATTAATTAA